TTTGCTCAAGCAGTGGGAGATTTTGTGGTGATCCTTGAACAGTTGGTAATCTCTTAGGCATTTTTTCCATCATTTTTGCATTTCTAAAAGCTTTATTGATAGGAGGATCACCGCTTCTCATCTTATTGATTCTTTTAATGATTTGATGATTTAAAATGTGACCACTCCTCCATGCTCCTTTCCTCTTATTTGGTGGTTTGTTCCCTTTTCCCTTCCTATGAACGTCCCTTACAAGTTATGGAGCATTATTCAGTTATCACTAACTTTCCTTCTTGAGTTCAAAATAATCCTTGTTGTATAGAGTTGTTCTTTGCAAGGATTACATCAAATAGCCGAATTATTCCTTGATTTTTTTTTAAAAAACCATAGTAGCCCCGTATATTTAAAAATATATTATATTATTCTTTAGGAAACCATCAACCATGTCATCATTAGCCCAAAACCTCACTCCCTCATGGTATTTAACTCATGCAATGGTATTCAATAATTTTCTATGGGGGAAGATAAAACTGAATCTTTATCATGATTTAGGTTGGCAGCACAGATGAAAAATTGTGAAATACACGTGTGCTTGATCTATTGTTTTTAGTAGAGATGTCAGTTCTTGAAAATGACATGAACATCCTTAACTACTATCATTAAGTTAGAATCCGTTGTCAACATGCCTATGCAAACATTTATATAGGCTTTTATTTATATACATTCTATCAAGTAATGCTTTATCTATATGTTCCTTTAACATGGAATTGTATTTTGAAATAATAACATAAGCCTAAGATTTGAAATCATTGACATAAATATCATGACATTTAAAATCAGTGACATAGCTGTATCATGGCATTCATAAACATTGATAAAATGTAAAATTAATTAGAATATATGTCATAATAATAGCATGGCATTTATAGTAAAAAAATATAGCAATATTTTAGTATTGGATTCATAGGCATAAGTCATAACAATAACCTCCTAATTTAGGTTACAATGAAACATTCATTTTTATCTAATTTATGGTCTTCTTACTAATCTGTTTCAAAGGATATATCACTTACACATAAATGAATCTCCACTTGATATACAACATTATCTTGCTAACATACATACCTAGAAACTTGTGTGGAATAAACACGAGTAAATAATATTCTAAATCACGTGTCTAATTATTTAAATGACTAAGAAACTCTTATAATATTTTAACTCGGGCAAATGTATAGTCATTGGCAGACTTTATTCAAGTCCCAAAAATCAATCCATGCATGAATCGGACCATTTTTTCTCTTCATTTAGATGATAGTTGCATCCAGTTGCCTTATTTTTTTATCCTAGATGAAACCAGCAAATGAACTTATTGGTTCCGGTGAATTCTTGTTCCCCAAATTTAAGTCTCATAATCTTAGTGTATGCTTGACAGATTGTACTTTGTGATTAATGAAGAGCTTGTAGATTGCTACATCTAGAGACAAGTCTAACATTTATTATTGTTCCAAGCAAAGGAATAATTATACTAAAGGATAAATAGTTTTAGATATTCTATGTTCTTAAATGAAAGAGCAACTTTCACGCAAGTAGGTCTATGATCATTCTCTGTGCTGAGGATGATTTATCGAAGCTCATCAATTGTATCTAGGTCGTCTTCTTTAAACTATTTAAGAGCCTCTTTAAAATAAATAATAAGAACCTCGATTTATGGGTTGACTTCCTCGAGAGGTATTGAAGGACCAAAGTTGAAATCACTTCTTCCAAGCTCACTTCCACATTCTAAGTTGTAAACTCTATGGGTTGACTTCCTTTTCAATTTGCAGACAATGATCCCAAGCTCATTGTGGCCTCTTCTTTGAGGAACGTATAAGATTTTGAACTTCTCTACCTCAGTAGTTGAGAAGGAAGTTCATGTTTGGTGTGAGCAAATGGCACAGTTGTTACTAATATGATGCTCCAGGAATTTTGGAGTCAGCCAGTCTCACTTGGGAGATTGAGGCTTTATGAAGGACTAAGCCCTGGTTTTCCAGTATTTATGAGTTATGTGAGTGCCTTTAGATTGATGGAGAAATAATTAATTTTCCTCATCTTTTGTGCCATTGCCAAGGTGAGGTATTTTGTTTTGATATATAAATGAAAAGGTCCTTTAAATTGAGCCACTGTAGCTGATTCTTGCCCTTCACTTTCAAGATTGTAGCTTTCGATTGTGCTTTTACAAATTGGATGGATTACTTATCTTTGTATAAGGTTGGTACCATTTGAATTCTTTATGATGAAATGTTTAGCATCATGCATCAAGAATGGCGGCATGTCTTGCTTGATTCGAACCTCATCATTATAAGTGTCTTTGCTTTATTGATGGATGATGGATGCCACAATATCATACTCATCGATCCATGATCATCGGAAGAGTGCTTTGAAAAAAGTATCATAGGGTTTGGTTGGGAAAACTTTTTGCCAGATTTGTTTTTTATATAACAATTATAATTTTATTTTATCATTACTTTCTCATTATTTTTCAAAAATTTCTGTGATAGAAAGTTGCTTCACAACCAATTTTATAAAACGCTGCAACCGTCTCAAACAAAACCCACAATTGATTATGCTCAATCTTCCTCAAGAGGAGATCATCATTATCGAAGATAATTACAAAAGAGCTTTGCACATATTAGGGCTTTCATGTTGTGCTCCTTCATAATGATCAGGATTTTGCAATGCATTGTTGAGCATATCCTAGATGCTTTTCAATACTGGTTAACTTTGGGAGGTGGCCCAGAATACTATAATTCATGACAACTTTGATAATTTCTAGGATTTATTAGGAGCCTGTGACAAAGAAACATCATTAATTTAATTCTTCTTTTGTTGGGGAGTAGAGACTAGTTTGTTTGTCATCTCCCTGAATGAGCTATCATCAATGAAGAGGCTCTAAACTCACTAATTTAGATTCATTAGTCATCTGCGTTACTGTCAAACTAGTGACATTTAATTTTGAGGACCATCAATTTGAAGTCCTCCTTTGAGTTAGTGAATGGAGGCATCGTATAAATATGATTTATAAAGGATTGATAGGGTCCCTTTTAAGGGTCCTCTAGATTGGATTGATGAAAATTGCTTGGTAAGTAGGCTGACCCAATTAGTCAATATTGGTTTGATTTCTGATAATGCATGTTTTATTGCTTATATTGAGACTATTACTCATTAAGAATTTTGGATCAACTACTATATAACAAAATTGAACTAAGGTTCTGAATCTATCTATATATTTGTCTGATCGACCAAATCAACATTGTGCATTTAAATTGAGTCATTTGATCAATAAATGTTGTCGATACACTTGCATAAATATTAACAAATATGAATCATTTGCAATATTTCTATTTTTTTATGCTCTTCGTGACCTCTAAGGTTCTTACCCCCTTTTTTAAGGGTGATTTGATTTGCTAAAAGAGGAATGCAAAATAAAAGAAATGTAGTGTAACATAATATGTAAGTGTTTGTTTTGATTAAAAAGGAATGCAATACAAATTCTAGTGAAATCTTTTTTCACTCAATCATTCATTTTTTATGTATTGGAAACTCATAGATTTGATTGACATCACAAGCCAATTGTATTGCCGTCATTAGCCATTGTTGGTCATCGACTATCTCCCATGACAGACCACAACCACTACTGCACGTCGATTATCACTACTAACCATCGCCACCGCCGACCAAAACCCAATGAATGAGATCTTGAGTGTTATTTTGTAGAACTCTTCATGTTTAACAAACATTTATATTTTTGATGTATTTAATTGATATTTTTTCGTAAATCCTTACAAAATATTATATGGTAGGGGAGACGAGTACAACATATGCTTGCATATACGTCACACATGCTACATAAGAACATAGATGGTATAGTGAGCCTGATGGAGACGCATGTAAGATTTTAAAATTATATTTGCATATTTAATTATGAAAACTAATTAAAATTATATTTGCATATTTAATTATGAAAACTAATTAAAATTATATTTGCATATTTAAACTTATTTATTATATATTTAATATAATTTTTTTTTTGTACCAACTCAAGCCAGTTACAAATATGATCCATTGAGAAAAAAATAAATAAAATCCAGTCACCAATAGCTAGTCTGGTTCTGATCATTTTTTTTTAGTTTTGTATTTGGAACTCTTTGTTTTTCGTTTTTTTTATTCGTTCCGATCATTTTTTGTTCGTGCTTTTGTTTTTTTAGTTTTTGTTAAAATTATAGTTTTTCATATTTTTATATGGTACTTATATATATAATTTAATTATTCATAAATATAAAATTTAAAAAATCATCAGTGGCTACGAGCTTAATATTTTAAAAAATTTAATAAAACTAGTCGCTGAACGCTTCGCTTATGCCCTCGTCTACATCTGCCCGCCATACATTTGAGAAGCCATCAAAGGGCAGCCACTTTAAAGAAGTTGAGGGACCTGCTAGACAAGGTTCGCGGCCAATTTGGATGCACCACATCATCCAATGCATTATGCATTGGGTGACATGTCTCTTCACCGCACGTAATAATTTTTCCTTCCTCTCTCTCTCTCTCCCCCTCCATCCCTCCCTTTTGCTTAATAATTAGGTGCAGAGTCCAAACATAGAGATATGTCTTAACTCCAATAAAATCTTGACACGTGGAGTAAACACATGGATATTTAATTCGATTTATTTTTTACTTTATATATTTAATGTATCCATGGAACTTTAAGCTACGCGCACCAAAAGTGCATGTAAAACGCAATCAAAGCGCAGTAAACAAGCGCAAGTAAAGCAAAAAAAAAAACGCAACCAAAGTGCACTCCACTTGTCAAATTTTAAATGAAATTTGAATATCCGGATGTATCTCTACATCCGGACTCCGCACCTAATAATTTATCCTCCCTTTTCTCTGTACCAGCATTTGCAAATGAGAGAGTGAGTGGCATTCCCAATAGGAGGTGCTTGTGCACCGGCAACAATGAGAATGAAGAAGAGGAGCCATGATGACCATACCCTAGTCGTAAATTGCTTGGCTATGAGAAAGCCTGATTGAAAAGGAATTCCTCTCAAACATCAACACCTGAGAGAGCTTGCTACTTTTGAGAAGCTCTAAAACGGTGATGGGTCGCCAGATCCAACAGAGCATAGCTAAAATACTACAAAATGTCTAGGATACACCCAACTTCACTTCATATGAATTATTATGCGTGGACACCGAACGCCGTCCAGAGTCCAATGAAAATGTGTCACATCACCCTCTACTTGGTACCGCAGCTAGATACTGATGGTGTGGTTGCACCTGATTCGCCTCTGGACGATAAGCTATATCCGGTGTCTGCACAGAATAATCTCTCCCCCACTTCAGATGAATTATTATGTGCGGACAAGGCGGAGCATGCTAAAGTATGACAGAAGTTGCTAAAGTAAGTATTTCTCAATCCAAAGAGAGCATTGATGACTATCATTTGCTTAATGGAAGCTTCCAATTAGATTGAAGGTGGAGGTCAAGTCACCATCGATGACTCAAGTAAACTTGGGAATTGATGATGATACCCGATGATATTAGATCCTTGGTCCCAAATGAGAAGGTAGAGAAGATGTTACTACGAAATGAATGAGCTGCTCTACTGCCCAAGATGCAAAGTCTTGGCGGTACAGATGGAATGCCAATCTTTTTGCAATGGATTTTTGGAAAAGCAATAGTGAAGAGCAGTGCCGAAAGAAGCCACAATCAGCAAAAAATTTGTGCAAGCATGCAATTCTTAGCCGTCCATAGGCTTTAAGTACAGAATTGATTTATGTAATGGAATAAGGTAAGGTTGTCGAACGTGAAAAGGATACCCATTTTACAACATTTGTCAAAATTATTCAAGTAAAAGAGCTAGATGCCTTCTTGACTGACCTAAAAGGGTGCCTTATTCTATGCTAAGTATACATTATAAAATAGAGAAAATTTATCACAAAAATGCTAATCTGATGTACTCGCTATGAATGGTCTTCATTAGATTAGTATAAGAAAATTATCAGAGATAATAAAATGGGTGTATACATATAAAAATACCATTGACTTCATCGTTTGTAGAATCTGATGTACTCGCTATGAATGGTCTTGAGATCTTCCCATTCCTCATAGGAAACTCCAGGATCAACGTAACATAACTAAAAGCACGTAGTAAGATTAGATGAAGTTAATCAGAATCCACACCAAGCAAGGATATGGAGAGAGAGAGAGAGAGAGAGAGAGAGAGAGACCTGGTACTGTGGCTTTTTCAGTGTGTGAATTCCTCTTTTTATAAGCTTCTGCCATCCATTATTATCTCTTAGAGTCTTCTCTAAATCTCTTGTCCTCTAAAACCAATTATAGAAATGATGTACCTCCATGATGAAGAGATAATGAAAATAACAGGCCATGTTTGCCAGTCATTGAACCTAGGACTGTAGGCGTCGGAGTACGAGAGATTATTACGCGCGGTGTCCGGATGGTCCGGAGGCGAATCTGGACGCGCCATGTCACCCGGATACACTAGGCCCCGGGTGACGTGGCGCGTCCAGATTAGCCTCCAAACGAATCCGGATGTTGCACATAATAATTTTCCTCGAGGTACATGCTCTACAGTGCAAGAAGCTCTATGCCTTAACAAAGTGCATGATAAAGTTAGCTTACCTGGCCAGGATCTAGAATCAATAGAGAATATCTTTCTTCAGGCCCTTTCACAGACTTCTGCATTTGGATTCCAACGACAGTTCTTGAATGGCCATCATGCTGGAAATACAAAGGCCTGTTTATTGGGGGGAAATTTTTTTTCATGTTCAGAAAAGAGTGAGGGGATCTAATAATTTTGGTGTGAAAATGAAATCTAATTGGAATAACTGGAACTAACTTACGTTTTCTGGCTTATAAAAGCATCTTGAAGATCATCTAACCTACAGCTTGCCTCATGAGTAAAGTAATTCCAGATCCACTCCATGAGAACCTGATCTCCGCTGATATTCTCTCCTTTATAAGAGCTATCATGATCTTGTATGCTGCTGTTCTTTTCACTTTGGCTTCGCTGTAAGAACTTGTCCATTGGCCCGTACACTTGTTTTTCAATCATTTTGCATCTAAAATATCCAGGGTTTGAATGTTTTCCATGCTTCCAACTTGTATAAGATGTTGATGGCGAAGAAGATGGTAAACTATCGAAGTCCACAACCCTAGCCCGAAGTCCAAAGGAACGGAAGAGTGCTGCGCATTCGGTAGTACCAATCCATTTTTTTGAGCCGTAGACTTCCTTGTTAAAAGAATTTGAACCAGGTACATCAAATCCTCTTTCCCAGGCAATCTCAAGCCACCTTTGGAGCGAAGGAATATCAGGAACAAATTCTGAGCCACCAAACAAAACATCCCTTGCTTCTTTTCTTTGCATCAACAAATGAGAGCTAAGCATTTGAATGTTTCGCCAACCACAACCCCAGCCATAATCTTCTGATTCAACACTTTGATAATGATCGATATAACCTGATATTACGCTTATACATTTTCTATTTTCTAACTGGAGGCATCTCCTCAATAAGTTCATGATGCCACCTTCAACTCTGTAGAAGGTGCTTTTAGTCTGCAAGCCCACTAAACAAGATATCCGTTCTTGAAGGAGAACTTCCCTCAATCCAAGATGATTTTCATTGAAGGTTGATTTGCTAATTTCTGAACTCCCTCCGGAAAAACCACCAGAAGGCTGCTCAAGATAAGCTGGTGCATCCTGCAAAAGTACCGAATTAACATTTTCTATTTTACGTGGCCTTCAACATGTTTTAATCAGAAGTCTGTCAAAATCCATCATACATCTTAGCTCCATGCTCATTATGAGTTTTAAAAGACTTAGTTAAATGAGCTTGAATGGTCATTTTAACACCCCCAAAATGCATGAAACCCAAAAGAATCCATCAGACATGAAGGGATTGAAAATCCATGATGCAACAATTTCACAAATTAATAAAGATTAATTTATATTACAATACCAAAAGAAGGCTTGGAAATTTCGTCATTTATCACTTATGTACATGATTTACCACCAGATGACAGAAGTTTAAATACTTCAAAAAAATGTTGAACTATTAGAAGTGCTTCATAAAATGCAAGTCTACCTTGAGCCTTGAGGTTGGGAGTTCGAGTGAAATTTGTCTTGCTAGTTGCATGTCCTTTTCAAAATCATCTTCTAAAAAATGATTGTTTGCATGCCTACACAAAATTCATGGGAAAAATATATATTTTTATAAAGAAAAACAAATCAAAACCAGCCTTTGAAAATGCAATATCAGATATTATGTGTTTTGGGAAATGCTAGAATGTGAGCATACCATTCAAGCTCAGCAGGAAGAACATTACATTGGCAGAAAGGGCAAACTGAAAACATCATCAGCTTTCAGTCTCCTAATTAAACATTGTACCATACCACATAATTAATGAACAGGAAAATTGATCAAATCAAAAGCAAGAAAATGCAAAGATTATCTAGGTTATGCAAAGGTAAAAAGAAAAGAAGAAGGCCAACTTGAACAGCTCAATAGAAGATCCGATGTATAACAGAGTAGTCAATAATGAGTACTGGAGTAACAGTGATTCCAATATCAGCAGGATGAAGAAATACACTGAAAACAAAACAAGTACATAAACCAAGTATGACCATACATATTTCATGACAGTTCAGCACATCCAACCATATCTAACCAAACTAGAGGACAATCATAGAAGATCAAATACTGCAAGTAGCGAATAAATGATACTCATTTCTAACTTTAATGCCGACAGAGGTATAGGCTTTTCATGTCTGAGAGTTTAAAAACGTTATCACAATAAGTGCAGTTCCTCCACCTGATACCATACGAACCTGCCTATTACAAACAACAAAGGTTGTTGACCTAAAAAATGGGGAACGAAACCTTACCTACAGCAGCCCATACCCACGAACCTGTTTTGCACTTCGCCCTTGCACAACCCTCACTAAACCCAGGCCATGCCTTAGATGTCGTATGTGTGACCTCACCATAACTATTTGCTGACGGTGACAAATAGAAAATAACCTTAGTTCATGAAAGGTCAATGTCTTGTTTAACATATAATCAGAGTTTATTCTTAAATGATCTCTTGTCAGTAAAGATGTGGCACGTGTACTCTAACTTGTGATTTTGACGCCATAGGGCATCACATATAAACGGTTATGATCGGAGCTATTTGGTCAAGTGATTTTGCAGCGAAATAACACCAATAAATTGCAACCATGGCCAAAACCCATAAGTTCTTCAATGACTAAAAATCACTTGAGTAATGAATCATAAGGAGCAACTCTGTTAGCTAAAGTTGGTCGACTCAAAATTATCCCTTTAAACAAACATTCACATAAGTCTAAAATATACTATTAAATGAATCAACCCATGGTTACTAATAAGCATTCTTCAATCAGGTTGGGTCGATTATTTCCTCTTATTAAGTAGACCATAAACCATGATAACTTGAGACAATAGAATCATGAGACCTCAATCGAGTTTATCATTATGCCCCCACTATCCACTTTGAGTCTAGGAGGATAAAGTTCAAATCCCAATACCAAATTTATTATTTCTATATGCTCAGTACATCATGTCGATCAAACAAGTAGCCTTAATCAATAGTTCTTGCTCGTTACCAAGAGTGGCAATTAACCGTAGGATTTTTATGCATATGAAAAATCTAAAACCAGATCATAAATCCTCGTAAAATAAACGTGAAATATTTAGATAGTGTTTTATCTTCAATTTAATGTCTTCTAACAATTTAACGTTGAATCATTCTAAACTCTCCTAGTGAGAGGCCAGGATGCAAATTTTTGGAGCCCACAAAGGTATACAATAAGACACACAATCAGAGAAAAATGTATAACCAAAATGAGTATATCAAGCATAAAAATTGGAGTAATATGAAGTCAATAATTTAATTAATTATTTAAGTGTTACTTAGCTGCAAGTAGTATTTAATTCAACTATAATTTAGTAAATCTTATAAATCCAAAATTAATAAATCCTAACAAAGTTTTGCAAGTAATATGTTTTGGATAAATTCTAGTAAATTATTTGGCAAGATTTAGCCTAAAATGGGAGAAATTTAGGATTTAATTTCTATTGCTAAAAAACCTATTTGGCAAGACTTAACCTAAATCCTGACTAAATCTTGCAACCAAACAGAAAAGATATTGTTTGCTCTTATATTGAACATGTTACTCTAAGAAAACGTGGTTTTCATTCAATAAATAACTAATAGGCGCGAGAAAGCGTAGACACACAGAAATTTTCATTTTTTTAAGATCTCCAAGCTACTAGAGCCATTGAACCACTACATGATTGACGTAAAATATTACTGTTAATACAAATAGCAACCAGATTAAAAGTACAGATCCTAGAAACGACCTTATCAAAGCAAAGTGGCAATTCCCTGGAAACCAAACTGTTTCTATCCATTGAATAAATGACTAATAAGCGCAAGAAAACGTAAATGCATACAGATTTTCATTCTAAGATCTCCGAGCTACTAAGAGCCATTGAACCACTACAAGGTCGCAGTAAAACATTGCTGCAAATACAAATACACAATCTGCTTAAAGGGATAGATCCTGAAAAAGACCTCCTCAAAATAAAGCGACGAATCCTTGGAAACTAACCTATTTCTATCCAAGTTTAAAATCGACGGGCATCAAATCAGTTATTTTAAATATGCATAGAAATTTCTCCAATGGCGTATTATCGAGTAGCCAAAATCTCAGAAGCCGATACAAAATCGATCGCAGTTTCAAGTAAAAAAAAGAAGATTGAAAAGATGATACCAAACAGTCGAACTAAGGCGTAAAGCGGTTACCGTGTTACGGGAGAGGAAGAGACGGTACGGTGATGGATAGAGTGCTCTAATGGTGGACCTTCGAAGTGAAAAGAGAGCTCGCCCGATTGCGGGAACGTCGGGAAGGCACGGGTTTCTGGATTATATCCACTGCGCACGCAACCCGCACTGGAGACTTTTTTGGTTCGTGAAAATTGTTAAAAATGTGAAGAGTGGAGTCGTTATATTGAGAACAATTATTTATAAAAAAATTTAATTTTGTGTGTCCTGTAACGCCAAAATTACGAAAAATGTCTTCGCTTTTACTTCCTGATCAATTATTTAAAATCAGCTGCAACAAATATTGATTTGAACTAAAAAAAAAAAAAAAAAAACTTTATTGTAGCAAAATTTATGTTGCTTGAACCCTGTTTGTACAAACGTTCTAACTATCTTATAATTTTAGGGTTTAGGGTTGTGGCAGCAGCTTTACATAGCGGTTGTGGTGGTCGTCTCTTTTAGATACAATAGACTCTGCTTTAGTAGATATGTCACTGATTGATACAGCGGAGTGCAATTATAGTAGCTACGGAAACATAAAATTTAAGTTAGATATATTAATGTAAATCATCAAGAATCGATTTGATTGGGCATGAATCTTAACACGTATTTCAATTGAAAATTTTCATAATTAAATTTAGGATTATTTGAACTTTGATTTTAGCGAACTTATAGTCAATTTGAATATCTCGTCAAGACAAATCCATCAACACAAAAGAATAGTCCAACCCAAATCCAAATGAGCCGAGAAATTAAATCACAATATGAGTTCTCATGAGGTTAATTGGATGATCAAATAATTTCCAAATTTCACATATTTATGATCAAATTAAGTGTCTCAATGAGATGAATCTAACAAGCCCAAAACCATCTAATTCTAACATCTTGAAGACACTAATCAAAGAATTCAATACGGGTTGTTTGATGGTATGCTATGAAAGTTAGTAATAATTATGGAGAATGTTAGACATAAAAATTTATCGATAGGTTCTCACCCTCTATATGATGGACGTTTGCTTGAGACTCATCATAACTAAAGGCTTCAAGAATTTCGGAGCTCCAATCGCACAACCAGCAAACCACTATCTTCGAATCACTCCCCATCCACCACCATCACACAACCACCAGACACCTGCACTCTATTCACCAATCTTCAAAATATTCCCAAATATTTTATTTTAATTTAAAAATTACTATGGCATGTCTCTCTCTTCTCTTCAAAGGTCAACATTTTAGAATAGTTATTAATATTATGATATAGTCTTGATTTGAAATAGTTTTCTTATTATTTTCTATTGCAGCTTCTTAATATAAAAATTTATTGAATGCAACAAAAAGGTATTGCTCAAAAGCTATTCCAAAAAAAAAAAGCCATAATTACACTTATGATAATTAAAAAACAAATCATCTTACAAAAAACAGAGCAGTCGGACACAAATCAACGGCCACAGATCTATAATCACTTTTCCTATTATGTACATGAAGAAGAAAAAACTTGTGATTTCTGAGGTATTGAAGTCACCTTACCAGGAATTTTTGCCATTGGAAAGCTTCAATCCTTAAAGAACTATGGAGTCAGAAAAAAGAATTTCTGCTGTTGTGTTCAGTGCGAGTACTAATTATATAAATAACCTGAATCAATAAGCTGTGAAGATTTAGCACCCAAGATTTAGCAATATATTTCATTTCATCACAACTTGGTTAAGGATCTTGTTACTTGTTAGTGCCATTGAAAAGGAAATCAAATAATAGGATTGAAATATGCTAAGGAATTATGCCTTTTCTGATAGATTTCAGAATGAGAATCAAATTTAAAATCATCTAAGAGCAAATAAATGGAAGAAAACAAATGTGCAAAATAACTCAGAATTTTTACACAAGTTCGCTAAATTGATGATTAATTCATGTTGGTTTCGCTATAGTTTTCATCATGAAATTTTTACGGGAGAAATTCAGGCTTCTTTTGAGACAGCTTTCTAAAATAATTTTTTAGTACAAAATTTTTAATTCAAGAAATTTTTGGACTAAAAAACTGCTTTAGAAAGCAGTACAAAAATTGTTCCAAACAAAACCTCAATCTCATACGCTATGTATGTTATTTTTTTAATATCTTTTGATAAAATGCTAAGAACAATCAATCCACATAACATCTTAGCGTAAAACTTTTTTTCATAGATTATAGATATCAATTATGCTTTACAAGCTTAAACATCAAATACATCCAATAAAGTTTCACAATCCAACAACAACAACAACAATAAGCCTTTATACCACTAAGTGGAATTATGATCTACAACATAACATTTGGAAAAAAAAAATCTACAACATTTGGAAAAGAACAATTAAACGCGAAATACCAAATAAAATCAGAATCACATAGATCCACTACAGATGTACTTCCAAAATCATATGAAAATATTAAGATATAGCACAAAGACAAGAACAAAATCACATACAAATTATGATCACTTAGCAGTCAAAGTAGTGAAAACAGCTTCAGTAATAACATGAGTCCTCTTTGTAAAGCCCAGTCCAAATAAATGATTAATGTAAACCTTCCCTTCCTTCACTGTCGCCGAAGTAGCAAGGCGATGCAAAGGTCCAATATATCTTTCTGTAACAGTTGCAGTATTCCAATCATCAAAACTCTCCAGAATTCTAGCAGATGGTGTGCCTGCAACTACTAACTTAGTTTGTGACAGAAGCTCCAAGCCATCTCCCAAAAGAAGGGAGCCTGTAACTTGTACAACTCTTACATCCTCTGTTTTTATATCAACCTTGAAGAGATAGCCACCAGCTGTGTGTACGACAAGAAGATAGCCATTTTGGTGGTATACAATCCCATTAAGCCCAAAAACGTTTCTGTACCATTCTTTTTTTTGGACAAAGATATTGTTCCTTATGATTGAAAGCAATTCACCATTCGATCCAACTTTCCATATCTTGTTTGCTTTTGTATCAGTAACGTAAGCATTGCCATCATCATCCACAGCCACGTCGTCAGCAAATGAAGGTTCGTCATCTATATTGTACAGCCGAAGTAAGATATATTAGATTTAGTAGGAATAGGAAGGACTGAATATAATATCTGAAAAAAATTATAGAAGATAAAAATCTTGGAAAGTAAGGCATAAAAAAGATACTGACCATGCTAGTGAATATCAAGTTTTTAAAGGTGGTCATGTGTGATATTCAAATAGTTGATCTCAGTTCCCAAGAAAGGAGGAGGATCCCACTTGGCGCACTCCCTTAGCCAGCCACCGCTCCTGTACCTGAGGGAGCCATTTGTAGCGGTAGCTGCCCGCTCATGGGACGCGATTAGGGCGATTGGTATAGCAGTGGCGAGGAGTAGAAGTGCCCAAGTGCGGCGCCCACTGTACCCGCAGCTGTTAGTCGCCATTGTAGGAGGAAGATCGGAGGTGCGTTAATTGCTGATGCGCAGAGAAGAAGCGAGTGAACCACGCAGGAAAGAGAGAATAGGCGAGTTTGGTGCCGGTTTGTCGGTGGAATTCAGCGAGCTGTTGACTGAAGAAATTGTCCAAGGGAGTCTGATTGGTGACGTAATTCCTGAAATTTTGCAGAATGGTTGGGATTAATGGTAAACGAGAAGAGTCCAACCTGAATAATTTCTCTTGCGGCATGAACTCCAACTTTATTTATAACTTTAAGCCATAACATAATGGTTATTATTTACATTAACTATTATAATAAAATGATTAAAAATAGAGAAATTAAAATGTTAGTAATAAAGAATCAGTTATCAATATATTTTCTATTAATATAATAAATATCGTACAAAAATAAACAAAAATTTATACAAAATAATATAATAAAAAACGCATAAAATATTTTTTATGAGAATCTACTTGAATCTAACAAAAAGACATGGGCTATATATATAGATCTTCAAATTTATATGAATGGTACATCTTTTTGAATTATTTTTGAAATCTAAGGAAATTATCAAACTTTTATTATAAATTAGAAATTAAACTTAGTTTCTGCAAAAGCAGATTTGCAGAATAGAATTTCTTTTTACATTAATTGAGGTTTCTTTTGGGACAACTTCTTTCCTACTTTCTAAAATAAATTTTTAATACAAAAAATTTTTGAATTAGAAATTTTTTATTAAAAAATAGTTTTATAAAGCAACATAGAAGCTATCCCAAATGATGGCTAAGACAGATAAAATATGCATTAACTTTAAAAGAAAATGAGGCAAAAGGATTGATATTTTCTTCAGGGAGGATGAAAAGGGAAAACAAGCATGAAATGAAGAACTAGTAAGATCAGATTTTATAATCAAACCATCTTACAAAAAACAGAGCAGTCGGACACAAATCAACGACCACAGATCTAATATCATTTTTCCTATTATGTACATGAAGAAGAAAAAACTTCGGATTTCTGAGGTATTGAAGTCACCTTACCAGGAATTTTTGCCATTGGAAAGCTGCAATCCTGAAAGAACTATGGAGTCAAAAAAAAAAATATTTGTTGCAGCTCTCAGTTCGAGTGCTAATCATATAATTAACCTGAATCAATAAGCTGTGAAGATTTAGCACCCACGATTTAGCAATAGATTTCATTTCATCACAACTTGGTTAAGGATCTTGTTACTTGTTAGTGCCATTGAAAAGGAAATCGAATAATAGCATTGAAATATGCTAAGGATTATGCCTTTTGCTGATAGATTTAAGAATGAGAATCAAATTTAAAATCATCTAATAGCAAATAAATGGAAGAAAACAAATGTGCAAAATCACTCAGAATTTTTACACAAGTTCGCTAGATTGATGATTAATTCATGTTGGTTTCGCTGTAGTTTTCATCATGAAATTTTTACAAGAGAAATTCAGGCTTCGTTTGGGACAGCTTTCCAAAATAACTTTTTAGTACAAAATTTTTAATTCAAAAAAATTTTGGAGTAAAAAACTGCTTTATAAAGCAGTACAAAAACTGTTCCGAACAAAACCTCAATCTCATACACTATGTATGTTATTTTTTTAATCTCTTTTGATAAAATGCTAAGAATAATCAATCCACATAACATCTTTGCGTAAGAATTTTTTTCATAGATATCAATTATGCTCCACAAGCTTAAATATCAAATACATCCAATAAAGCTTCACAATTCAACAACAACAACAACAAGCCTTTATCCCACTAAGTAGAATTATGATCTACAACATAACATTTGGAAAAAAAATCTACAACATTTGGAAAAGAACAAACGCGAAATACCAAATAAAATCAGAATCACATAGATCCACTGCAGATGTACTTCCAAAACCATATGAAAATATTAAGATATAGCACACATACAAGAACAAAATCACATACAAATTATGATCACTTAGCTTTCAAAGCAGTGAAATCAGCTGCAGTAATAACATGAGTCCTCCTTGTAACGCCCAGTCCCAATAAATGATTAAGGTAAACCTTCCCTTCCTTCACTGTCGCCGAAGTAGCGATGCGATGCAAAGGTCCAATAAATCTTTCTGTAACAGTTGCAGTATTCCAATCATCAAAGCTCTCCAGAATTCTAGCAGATGGTGTGCCTGCAACTACTAACTTAGTTGGTGACAGAAGCTCCAAGCCATCTCCCAAAAGAAGGGAGCCTGTAACTTGTACAACTCTTACATCCTCTGTTTTGATATCAACCTTGAAGAGATAGCCACCAGCTGTGTGTATGACAAGAAGATAGCCATTTTGGTGGTATACAATCCCATTAAGCCCAACAAAGTTTCTGTACCATTCTTTTTTTTGGACAAAGATATTGTTCCTTATGATTGAAAGCAATTCACCATTCGATCCAACTTTCCATATCTTGTTTGCTTTTGTATCAGTAACGTAAGCATTGCCATCGTCATCCACAGCCACATCGTCAGCATATGAAGGTTCGTCATCTATATTGTATTACCGAAGTAAGATATATTAGATTTAGTAGGAAGGACTGAATATAATATCTGAAAATTTTTTTAGAAGATATAAATCTTTGAATGTAAGGCATAAAACAGATACAGACCATGCTGGTGAATATTAAGTTTTTAAAGGTGGTCATGTGTGATATTCAAATAGTTGATCTCAGTTCCCAAGAAAGGAGGAGGATACCACTTGAGGTAGAGTTCTTTAGTTGGTATTTGAAGTTATTCCTTGAACAAATAGTAAGTGGAGCTTATGCGGATATCAGTACGAAGATTTGGCGCGTCTATCACAGGAGGCGTCGTAAATCGACGACTATAATTTAAATCTTAAATTATGAGTTATTTTCTGAATTTTAGCTCTTATTTTATGTTATTTCCTGTTTTACCCCCCTAGGTTAGTTTATGTGAGTGTTGTTGATGTGAAACATAATGCGCAGGAGCTCATTAAGGAATTTAAGAACAAGTTGGCAATGTAATTCCACTCAATAGCTTATTGTAATAACAAGGCAATTCAATAAAGAATCTTAGTTTTTCACTTACTTAGGCGAAGGAGCGCATGTAGATTAATCATACCTAGTAGATAAACAAAAATAGTGGCAATACTAAGAGCTATTAACCAACAATCCA